CACCCAACAATTCTGTGAGGAAGATACTAAGATTTATATTGTTATTCTCATTTTATAGGAAAGGAAACACTAAAATAACTAAAACAATCTGTCCGAAGTCACTCAGCTTAGTAAATAGCAGTGAATTTGAAACTGGATTCTGAGTCGAAAGCACGTAACCATTATGTGATACTTCCCACATCTGACTCAACTCCCTCCAAATCAGAGGTTCTAAGTGAGATAATAAGTAAAAACTTTTTGAAGAAGGTAAAAAAGCTATATAAAAGGTGAATCTACGTATTGTATTATGTGGAAAGCATTTTTACTTTTAAAAGCAATTGGCAACCTATAGCTGAATTGCGTGGGGGGGGGAAATACATGGTTGTAGTATATGGGAGAGACCAGAGCCCTTTTTGGCTGCTCCTTGGCCTTGCAGAAAAGTTCCAGAAAATCAGCGGCCTGCATAATGTGCACTACTCGTTCCCCTAATTACCAGAGGCTCAGTCTGGGGGCTGATAACAATGAACATCAGTAGAAGAGGGAGAGTACTTGTGCTTTTATTCTCATTTTTAATTGATCTTAAAATTCTTCCATGGCCCTTTGCCTTGGGCACAATCCAGAGTCATGAATCCTTGATATGCGGCTCAACAGAGAGGCACAAGACAGTGTAGTCCCTTTCCCTTCACCAATTTCCTGCCTGCGTTTCTATTCTGGGACCACTGTACAGACCATTCCAGTTCAGAGATGGAGCAAGCTCTGCTCGCCTTCATGCACCATGCATACAGCCTGGCCCCACTGGGAGCACTGTGCAGGAGGGGCCACATGACCTGCAGCCTTGGAGGCTTCCTACTGGGCGAGCTTAGGGCTTCTTTTGCAACTAATTATATCCATCTGTTTTTAAAAGGTGAAAAAAAATCCTGAATTTAGGTGTCGATTGATACATTAATTACCCCATCTCAGTTGCAGCAGTGTGGTCTTAATAGCTGATTGCTGCAATACCCAAATCTGTAATATCAGAATGTGACGTGCATATTTTAATTTGAGAAATAGTTTAACATTTTTAGATATTCATTTAGATGTGGTTATGCAGGTTAAACATAACGTATGATCACTGCTTCTTTCATTGCTTCCAATTAAACCTTGCTTGTTAGTTTAACCTCTAGGTAATCCCATCAAACAATTGATGTCAAGGAAACAGTGCCCACAGTAGCTTCGGATGAGTGGCCATTAATTTTAATTGCCTTGATATTAAAGATTAAGAAGTATTGGGACTAGCAGAATAAAAACGATCTGATGTCAAGCAAAATCCACTTGCTAAAGCTTCCCCAGGCTGCTGGTGATATTAAAATTTTACTGTGAGAATTAAATAAACCTTTATTAGTGATGACTGTTGTTTGATTGGTCCAGAGGTATGCATAAACAGAGGATTCTTACATATCTAGAGATGAGACCTTCGATGGTACAGAGATTCCTCAATTATGAAACTGTTAATAAAGCTGTAATCTGATTTTCCAGGCTAGGTTTCATTAATGTATTATAGCTTCTCTGATTGTCAAGGTAATATTAACTACAAAGTACTGAATCCAACAGAGAATTGTTTGGAAGAAGAGAATTCTAAGATGGGCCTTTGTTGCTAAATTCAGAGTTGGGGAATTTTCATTAATTATGCTTAAGAAATGCCAGATTCCCTCTCAACCAAGACTATCCTCCTTTGCACTATAGATATGTTCAATATTTAACTCTTTCTGAGGCCTGACAGTCTTAGTCAGAAAAGCTAGAGTGATAATTATGTATTAAAGGAGCGTTTTGCAAGCCAGCTCTAGGCCTGTCTCCTGAGCTGAGAGCATGCGTTGGGAAACATGAGGTAAGGTCAAAGAGAACATGCTTTAACAAGCATAATCAGAACCTATACCTTTGTAGTCCTTTTCCAATCTTGATTTAGAACTTTTAGAATCACATAATTCTGGTATGGATTCTAATGGTCACTGAGGCTGATTTGTCTTGGTGCAGAAATTCCTCCCGAGTATCTGTCTCCATCCTGCTCGAGGCCTGGGCACCACACCTGCATCGTCTCTGACTTGTCCCTCTCCACTGACCTCCAGAGCTAGTCAGTGGCCAGATTCTGTCTGTTCCTCCTCCATAATATGTACCCTCTCCACTCCTACTGCTCTGCCTGGCTCAGGCCCTCATGGCTTCCTCGCTTATATACTTTCCTAACTTCCTCCTATTGCCACATCCTATGCAGTTATAATGCACACCTGCTGTGAGCCTATGGGGCTCAGGAAGGGAGAGCCAAGAAGGCTAATAATAGGATGAAGAGGTCCCTTGGGGCTGAGCTTGAAGGCCTAATGTTGTGACAGTCTAGTTGTTGGAAGTAGGACCAATGTGTGGAAAGGAAAGGGAACCAGATTGTAGTTCAGAATAAAGAGAACTATATACCCATTAGGACTATCCACCAATGGAGGCAGGGATTTTGTGAGGTACTGAGTACCACATCTCTGGAGATGGAGAGATCAGGACCACAAAGAAAATATGGAGGAGGTGGCA